CCAGTTGCACAGCGAAGTGTTGAGCCCCAGCTGGACCAGTTTGTGAATGAGCTGTTGAGGGATGATTGTGTTGAATGCTGAACTGTCTATGAACAGCATTCTGACGTGTGAGTCTGTGGTTCTGCCGACATTGAGCAGAAACTCACGACAATATGCGCACTTGGAAACAAATAGACGCGACGAATGCGTACAAAAACACTGCGACTCACAAGACAAAAAACACGAAAACACCTTTCTGTCGGGAGAGAGAGAAGCCGCAGCGTGTGAACGCGCCGCCAAATTGTGTCATCATTTACTCACCCTCACTTCATTCCAAATCTGTACGACTTTCTTTCTTTGATGGAACATAAAAGAAGTTACTTTGAAGAATATTGGAAAAATAAAGTCATACAGGTTTGGAATTAAATGAGGATGAGTAAATGAAGTCAGAATGTTAGTTCTTGGGTGCACTATGCCTTTAAAAGCATTGCAATTTGTTACAAAATTACATCACTATTATAAAAAGAAATTAATCACAGTGTGTTGCATTGCCCCTTTTTATGGCAAGTAACTTTTGCTTTAGTTTTTCTCACTGTTGGGATTTAATACATACAAAATTTATAATTATGAATTTTGTTTCTTTTGAGTGACATACATCCAGGAAATATTCTCAGAACTTTGCTTTTTGCAAAATTTTCTCAAAATTATGAACAAATGTTCTTCCATTAACGTTAGTAGAACGTTTGTTCAAAATAGGTCTTTAATAACATTTTCAATATGTTATTGTCAATATTCATGGAACTTTTTTCCTGAAACAATTTATTTGAATGTTCGTCTAACATTTTTTAAATGTTACTACTTGTGTCAGATTGTTCAGTCAACATTCCCATAATGTTTGCAAAATAATAATCCTTTAATGTTTTTGCTAATGCATAGCCAAGAAAAAAAAAAAATATATATATAAAAAACTGGATGTTTTGAACATTAAGAGAACATAAAAAAAAACATTTTCATAACTTAATGGAATTAAGTTAAAATATGTGTTTTTTTTAGCTGGGAATGCATATATAACTGACCAAGACCAAATAGTTCATGCATGATTCGCACCAACAAGTTTTCCATTTGTAATTCAATTGCAAATTGGCAATGTTTATATGCATTCTTCTCTTGAATATGATCATTCTGACATGACATGAGGGCAACCAATGTATCACATTCTGTCAATTACTACACAAGACAACAATACATGACCCGTGTTAATGAACACACAGGAAATGTGTTTACAGTAAATGTAGGCTTAGCAGGTAAGTGGACAGAGTCATGAATAAACATTTAAAACATGCAACGTTTCTAAAAATATAACTATATTTTGTACAATTTCCTAAAAGTATACCCATCGTAACTGAAACATGCTAGAATGATAATGATGCAGTGCTACTATTATATACTATTATAGTATTTATTCATATTTTAAATGGCCTTTTATTTTTATATTTTCAGTTTTCATTTCAATATTAGTTTTAATTTCATTTCATTTTAGGTTTTAGTAATTTTGTTATGTGCTTTTGTCATTTTTGTTATTTTTTTATAATTCTGTTTAGATTTAATTTATATTTAATTTTTTTTTAAGTTTTAGGTTTTCATCTTATATTTAGAGTATATTTTACTTTATTGATTACTGTATCAATTTAATTAGCAACGTTTTTGTTAATCTTGTGAAAAAGAAGTGTCCTTTAACATACTTAAAAAAAAGAGTACTTATTATGGAAATAATATACTTTAAAAGAAAATACGTGCAAATTGAATGTAATGTTTTCAAACTCTTAATTGCATGTTATTTACAATTAACTCATAGATTAATTGTATATTAAATGCAATTAATTAAACTTAAGAGTGCTAAAACTAATTTGACATCATTATAACGTGCACTTTTTTAAAGTGTGCTAAGAAACATAGTCATGAAAATGTGCTCTCTTTAAAGGGTTAGTTCACCCAAAAATGAAAATTCTGTCATTAATTACTCACCCTCATGTCGTTTCAAACCTGTAAGACCTTCGTTCATCTTCGGAACACAAATTAAGATATTTTTGATGGAATCTGAGAGCTGTCTGACCCTGCATAGACAGCAACGCACCTGAAATGTTCCCAAGTCCAGAAACGTAGCAAGGAGATCTGTAAAATAATCCATGTGACATCAGTGGTACAACCGCAATTATACGAAGCTACGAGAATACTTTTTGTGTGCAAGAGACAAAAGAAAACAACTTTATTCAAGACGAATTGTTGTATAAAGTCGGTTTTTTTTCTTTTGTGCACAAAAAGTATTCTCGTAGCTTCGTATAATTACGGTTTATGTCACATGGATTATTTTACAGATCTCCTTGCTACATTTCTGGACTTGGGAACATTTCAGTTGCGTTGCTGTCTATGCAGGGTCAGACAGCTCTCAGATTCCATCAAAAATATCTTAATTTGTGTTCCGAAGATGAACGACGGTCTTACGGGTTTGAAACGACATGAGGGTGAGTAATTAATGACAGAATTTTCATTTTTGGGTGAACTGACCCTTTAAATACATTTAAATAAATGTAAGTACTGTTTCATTTCTTTTAATATTATATTATCTGCAACAGTTTTTTTTAATATACTTAAAGATTTGTACACTAAGATAAGTACACTACAGGTGCACATTCAATACGATTAAGCACACTTCTTTTTCACAAGTGATAACAACACTGGAATAATGTGATAAGCCCTAAGGACTGCACAATTAATCGAATTTCTAATCATGATTACAATTATGGATGCCACAATTACCTAATCGTTCAAAGCGGCAATTAATCGCTCAAAGTGTCAAGGCACCGGTCTGAGCTGGGTTTGTTTATGTTGTGTCCTGGTCTGTCTGGAGCACATGGCTGTCAGTTGGTAATTATGTTTGCCATGTGCTCTATTGTCTATTGTTACCCCGCCCCTCTCATTACCTTATCTCGTTAGGGGTAACACCTGTTTCTGATCATTAGTCATCCTTAAATTCCCCTCTTGTTTTCTGTCTTGTGCCAGATTGAAATCTCTGCTCTGCTGCGTTAACCTGGCTCTTGTCGCTGTTGACTTTTATCCTGGTTCCTGTTTTGTGTAGCCTAGTTTCCATAGCTTTTCTTTTACTTTTGATATTAGGGTTTTTATTGATCTAGCCCAGTTCCTTCTAGTTCCTAGTTTTGGCTCCAGCCGTTTAGTTTTGTGTTCGTTTTTCCCTTCCCCTCTGCCCTCTCCAGCCCCTGTCTGCCCTGGCTGCTGGACTCCCTTCTGTCTGCCTCCTTCCCCTCGCTGCCCAGCGTTCCCTGCTCCCTCCTGGAGTTCCTCTCCCTCTCCCTCCCACCATCGCCATTCTCTGGCCCCTGGAATTATTTGGAGAGCTGGACTGTCTCGTTGCTCATGGACTGTTACTCGTGGCCATTTGCTCTGGAAACCCCCTTTTCCTAGATGCCTGCTGTTGAGCTGACTTTCTCTTCCCCGGACCTGGTTGGGATCTCTCCAGATTACCCTCTCGGACAGTGGCTTCGTTCCTGTTTGTTTTCGAATCTCAATAAACTCCTTGTTATCCCTGCAACTGATTCCTCTTCCTTTGCCACTCCTGACACAAAGTCCACTTATGTTATTCGGCATGCTTAAGATGCGTTTTTTTTTCTTTTTTTCTGCATGTTATCTTAAGGGTTTTTCCCGTTTTAGTATAACATTATAATACCATTCATATTTTTACTTTTTTTTTTTTTAAATATAATTTAAAGAAGAAACCAATCCGATGTATAGTTGACATTTGAGGCTTAATGCTATAGAAAAGCACTAAAAGTGTTTCAGTTAGTGTTTTCAGCTTGTTTATTTTCATATAAAAATACGGCATGCAGTTGCATCAAACAATAGTATAAACATAATTCAGTGTAAACTGATAATGGTAATAATCGCAATTTCAAGGGAATAATTGACAATTATGATTTTTGTCATAATCATCCAGCCCTACTGTTAGGTTTCTATCACAAGTTAGTGTACATGTAAGGAAAGTTGAAGTTATTGTCTGATAATCGAAAGCTGGTCATGGTCATGCGGTACATTCGGAGACACAACACTCACTCAGGTAACTGATACAAAGGTCAAAGCCAGACAGACTTCAGTTCCAGGTAAAGAGATGATAAACACTGGAATGCAGCACTTCAGTGACCTTTAATTAAATACACAGAATGAGACATTACTAACCGTAATACTCCACGTTACCCCAGCCGGTTACTGTACCCATCTGGCCATCTGCCAAACGCAAACATAATTCAGTGTAAACTGATAATGGTAATAATCGCAATTTCAAGGGAATAATTGACAATTATGATTTTTGTCATAATCATCCAGCCCTACTGTTAGGTTTCTATCACAAGTTAGTGTACATGTAAGCAAAGTTGAAGTTATTGTCTGATAATCGAAAGCTGGTCACGCATGCGGTACATTCGGAGACACAACACTCACTCCGGTAACTGATACAAAGGTCAAAGCCAGACAGACTTCAGTTCCAGGTAAAGAGATGATAAACACTGGAATCCAGCACTTCAGTGACCTTTAATTAAATACACAGAATGAGACATTACTAACCGTAATACTCCACGTTACCCCAGCCGGTTACTGTACCCATCTGGCCATCTGCCAAACGCTGGCTGTAGGTTTTGTCTTAGAAACTATATATATATATATATATATATATATATATATATATATATATATATATATATATATATATATATTAAGTGCTATATATGATTACAAATGAACAATGCTTACCATCAAATAAACCAGTATCTTCTGTTGTTCTGAGATATGTGACTGAAAAACAAACACAGAAATCAAGTGTAAAATGTCTCTGAAGTGGCTGCAGTATTCCATTAAATCAGCAAGTAGAAAGTCTCACCAAGGGCCCAGATGGCGGCTCCCAGCCCTCCCAGTATGATCAAGATCAGAGCTACCACAGCGGCCACCCGACACCAGCTGAAGATGCTCATCCCTGGATTTCCTGTAGGACAGAAACCCAGATGAAGTTTATACTTGTAGAAGTAATGTAAGATTTTGTGAACCTTACAATACATGCCTGTGCGCAAACACATAAATCATGACAGAGCTGATGAAAAGAACAGAACCATGAACGAGATCAATAGTTCAAAGTCATCAATTCCTCACTGCTAAAGTAAACGTGGGACTTCATCTCAGTGCCATGATCAGCTCTCTCTCTCTCTCCACACACACAAACACACACACACACACACACAGAGAGAGAGAGAGAGAGAGAGAGAGCGAGAGAGAGAGACCAGTGTCAGCATGTTCCCAGAGATGTAACCATGTCCGTGGTAAGTGACCAATGCCACAAAGACCTGCATGCGCTGAGCAGTCACCACAGCTACTGTTTACAAGCATTTCATTCACCTAGGACCAGTATTGCTCATTCATAACCATTATCATCCTAGATAAAACACATAAACACACAAACATGACTTTGATATACAAATGGGGTGTCCTGCTTCTCAGATATTTGTCCTGAAATATAAATACCCTAATAATCTCACAAGTGTTTTAGTGTTATTATAAGTATATAATTATTAATTATATACTGTATTAACAGCTCTATATTTATATAGAGAGAGAGAGAGAGAGAGAGAGAGAGAGAGAGCGAGAGAGCGAGACCAGTGTCAGCATGTTCCCAGAGATGTAACCATGTCCGTGGTAAGTGACCAATGCCACAAAGACCTGCATGCGCTGAGCAGTCACCACAGCTAGTTTACAAGCATTTCTTTCACCTAGGACCAGTATTGCTCATTCATAACCATTATCATCCTAGATAAAACACATAAACATACAAATATGACTTTGATATACAAATGGGGTGTCCTGCTTCTCAGATATTTGTCCTGAAATATAAATACCCTAATAATTTAAGTGTTTTAGTGTTATTATAAGTATATAATTATTAATTATATACTGTATTAACAGCTCTATATTTATATATTTTTAATTTAATGTATAATATAAATGAAAATAATTTAAGTATATTATAAATATATTAAATATAAATATAATATACCTTTTATTTATATGAATATGAATTGAATTCATATACACATATATGATCGTAAATGCATCTTTATACTCTTCTTAAGTTTACATTTTGTTTTTCCTTTTATTCAATGGTAACAATATGACAGTATAAGGAGAAAATATTTCCTGCATGTGTAAAATGCTGCTTCTGTCAAAAATAATATTTTTAAGAAAATAATGTACAAGTCTCGTGAGCTAAAAAAGGGCAACCTCTGAGCAATAAATCTGCAATAAATCTTCCTTTGGGAGTATTAGGAAATATGCACGCCAGTTTCAAACCTGCATTCCCTACAAATTTGCAAGCACATGCATTACCGTACCAATGACCCATGGCTTCAACCATGTGTAGGATGAGGCATGTGTAGGATTTTGTGATTGATGGGTTTCAGATTCTGGTGAAATGTGCAGGCGTTTCTGCACATGCGGCTGCCATGTGGATCATCTCAAAATGTGTTTTCCTGACTGTGAGGAGCTTGTGCATAAGCTCTGGTGTGATGATTAACAGTCGGCCCATGCAACATCAGACGACTGCAGAGACTGTGCTGTCTGATAAGCCCAGAGCAAACAAACACACAAAACAGGTTGCTGCAGCTCTGCAGCAGGACTGAACTCACAAGCCTTTGGGTCATAGGGACATTTTATGTAGAAACATCTATTAAAAGTATTTAAATACTGTGGAAGACAAAAGAAGATATTTTGAAGAGCATTTCGGCTCCCATTGCCTTCCATATTATGGACAAAAAATAATATGGAAGTCAACAGGACCCAGAACGGTTTGATTACCAGCTTTCTTCAAAATATCTTCTTTTGTCTTCCACAGAAGAAAGAAACTCATACAGGTCTGGAATGACAAAGTAAGTGAGTAAATGATGAAAACAATCTTCATTTTTTGGGGGGTGGATTGTCCTTCAGGGAATGATGTGTGATTTTTGCTGGGAAATTCGTTCATGCCGGAACTCGATGATTCATGCTCTCATCAGTTCTGTGGGAGGTATGGTCGCAGATAATTTAAATAGCACATGGAAAGAGATGTTAGACTGATATTTCTGACATGATGAGAAAAATGGTGGTGGGCTGCTGTTTTTCCTTTCACTGAATTTAATTTTAAACACCAAGAGCTGAGACCCGAAAGTCACTACCATTATTTTTTACATACACTACAGTTTTTCCATTTCCATTTCAAATAAATTCTTTAGAACTTTTTATTCATAAAATAATCCTGAAAAAATAAAATTAACATTAATAGTACAGTAATAATAATATGAAACGTTTATTGAGCAGCAAATCAGCATATTCGAATGATTTCGAATGATGCTGAAAATTCAGGTTTAAATTAGATTTGACAATATATATATATATATATAAATAGAAAACAGTTATTTGAAGTTGTAATAATATTTCACAATATTACTGTTTTTATTGTATTTTTGATCAAATAAAATTGAGCAGCAAATCAGCATATTCGAATGATTTCGAATGATGCTGAAAATTCAGGTTTAAATTAGATTTGACAATATATATATATATATATAAATAGAAAACAGTTATTTGAAGTTGTAATAATATTTCACAATATTACTGTTTTTATTGTATTTTTGATCAAATAAATGCAGCCTTGGTGAGCATAAGACACTTCTTTCAAAAACATTTAAAAATCATATACCGACCCCAAACTTTTGATTAATAGACTTTATAATACTAATAATACTTAGACAACTAGACCTAGTCAGATTAGACAGCATATTAAATGTGCATGAAAACAAGACAGTCTGCAGTCTATAGCACACACATTATAAAGAGTGTTTTTGTATACTTTTTTTTTTTTTAAAGAAAGTTTCGTCAACTGAACAATCGGTATGTTGTTAAACAACAATACAATCCATTGAACACATTTATTTCTATCACTCACAGCCTCATTTTAATTTCTGTCAAAAATTCAATATGCTGTTACCCTAAGGTCTATAATGTAGAAAACCAGTTGTGTGATTTACACTGTTAAGTGGCATTCCAGAGAGCATCTAATAACACAACAAATTGTATTATCTAGAATAAAAGTTGGACTGAAACTACACTCTTAAAAATAAAGGTGCTTCACGATGCCATAGAAGAACCTTTTTGTCTAAATGGTTCCATAAAGAACCTTTAACATCTGAAGAACCTTTCTGTTTGACAAAAGGTTCTTTGTGGTGAAAAAAAGGTTCTTCAGATTACAAAAAGGTAAGAAAGAGATGGTTCTTTAAAGAACCTTTGACTGAATGGTTCTTTGTGGAACCAAAAATGGTTCTTCTATGACATCGCTGTGAAGAACCTTTTGAAGCACCTTTATTTTTAAGAGTGTACCTGAGAACTTGTTGCAGTTCTATTTGTTAAATGTCTTAGTCATTGATGCAAGCTGTTAAACAATGAGCATGAAACATATCAGAGTATCAAGTGAAAATGAGACTATCCATATCTCATCTTGACTCTCAACTGACTGGTGACGTTTCGTCCAAGCCCAGCTTTGAACAGTTACATTAGAGGTCAGAACAAAACTGAAACAGTGTGAAGTTTTCCTGTTTGCTCTCTGGTTTCATTCCTGAGGATTTCCCCACTGCCTCAGACCGTTTCTACAGCACCTGCCATGACCCATTTGACCGCAGAACAAGAAGTACTTTTGTCTGAGTGGGGGTTTGTATGAGACAGAGCTTCTTCATGGTACACTACTCTCTCTCTCTCTTACTCAAGATGGTCATACCTGGATGATTCAAGTTTTGCAGCCAAATTAAAATATCACAACGGCCTTTAGCTCACGGCACTAAAATGGCCTCTACAATGAAACGCATCCACTATGAAGGACTGTTTTGGTTCAGAACATTCTTTTAAAATGCTAAACTGCTAATCTACATCAAGCAAGCAGCATTTATTAAAAAACTGAATGAAAACAAAATACAAGAAAAAATGTTATACTGTACATACATAATGCATAATCCACAAATATGTGGAAAATAATGTGTTTTTTTTACTTTAAACCGCATAAACACATTTCATTACACCAAATAATGTTCTTTTTAGCAGCATCATATGACCCCTTTAAATCAGAGCATAACGTTTTAAACAGTAAAGGTTATTTTCATATCCTAGTTTTTTTTTTTTTTTTTTTGCAATGTTTTAAAACTAAAACTATTCAAATAAAGGTTCAGCATTCGCGCTCTGAAGTCCCGATCTGAAATGATGGTTCGCGAATCATTATTCAGATCGAGACTTCGGAGCGCATATCATGAATCATTTGATTCAGATCGGAACTTCGGAGTGTGGAGCGCAAATCATTTAAATAAGATCCGAACTTCGGAGTGGGTTCATGAATCTTTTGATTCAGATCGGAACTTCGGAGCAAAGAGCGCGAATCTTTTTTAATTAAACAGTACAAAATATCAAATCATTAAGGCAGTAGGAAAATAGGGAAATTGGTCTAACCATGGTTTCGTTACAGTAAAAGTGTAGTAACCATGTTTTTTTGTATAACCACAGTTTTACTACAAATACCATGGTTAAACTAAAATTTGTTTAAAGTTCATTTGTGGTTATGGTTTAACTATAGTAACCTTTTTTTGTAGTAAAACCATGGGTCATTTTCAAGAGGGATGCGTTGCCAGGTTAACCAAAAAAAAGGAATACATTTACACCTTAAGAGGACACAAATAGATGCAGTTTTCACTGTTTTAGCATTAACAGAGCTTTGGATAGTTTCCATATACTTGTCTAGATCAACTTTGGATCCAGATTTTTATATGTGAAATTCAGCTAGCAGGAAACAAATTAATTAATTTATATTTTCCTATATTATATTTTGGGTACGTGAACAATCCAAAGAAAACATCTTTAAAACAGAAAGAAAAGTCAAAATGAGATTGAATGAACATATAAAAAAATCTGACCAAAATTACTCTGTGTGGTACAATGCCAAACAAGTGAATAACAACTTCCTCAGATGCGTAACAAAACAGCAACTCACTATAGTTATGTCCATCCATTCTGTTGTTTGCCCTCTTTATATTTAAGGAGAGAACTTTAGTTTCCAAAGTTGGACATCATTTGTTATGATTTAGAATGTTGTGATTATGTTATGTTTGTTATGATTTAGGTTTCAGAAATCAGTAGAGTCCCTACCAATATCCAGCAACTACTAAATTGTCCCTAGCAATAATTTTGATCAGACAATGAAATGTCTGTTGTCTGTCGTTATGTCCCCACCTATGCCAAAATCATACCTGCACCCTTGCATTTAGCTTTTCTGTGCAGGTAAACAGCTGTATGGCACATCACGTCATGTCATGTCTTGACACCTTTTGGCCTTTTGTCAAAGTAATACACAGATTCAGACTGACCAAAACAAATCGAGTACATGACCCATCACTGTTAATCTTTAACATGGCACTCGTCTGATGTCAAAAGGGAGAGAAATAGCTGAGTACTCACCGATCTTCTTCTCTGGCATCTTTATCCAAAACTGAAAACTGAAAAATAAGCTTTGAACAGATTCCAATGATTCCTCCTCAAAACCTTGATTTGTTGCTTCTTCAAACCTGAAAATGTTGAGGAAAATACGTATAAAAAGTAGTCCGACCGCTGCCATGGACAAAGATGGGTTAAGCAAGTTAAATAAACCAAAGGGCAAACTGAGAAAAAAATTCAGAGGGATACAGTCTGTGCTGTTATTAACAATCACTGTAAAAAATATTTTCAACTTAATAGGAACACAAACTAATTTTGTTGCCCTAAATTTAATTTGTGCATTCATTTATGTCCTTGATACTAACTTTTACATTTTTTTTAATTAATAATTAAATTCAAACTGGTTGACGCATAATTAATTTATTACTGTGATTTGTAACTTTAAATTTGGTCTTTATAATTAAACACTTTTAGAGAACTTAAAGGTGTCTAGCGTTCTGTAACTTGTGTTCAGCTACATATTGACTTTTTCTTGTTTCCAAATACTCACATTTATTTTCACTTTTTTTATTATTATTATTAAATGTAAGTTAAAAGTGAAAAAAGTTACATCCAGTAAAAAAAAGGAAAAAATCCAATATAACGAACTCTGTCCTGATTCCCTGTTACATAAGGTGAAAAATATCTGAAAAAATAAATGATCTTATAAGTAATTGATGGTATCATTATTGGATAGAAATTATCATAATGGGAAGATATAAAAGATTCATGTCTAATTCGTTTACTTCCAGTTTCATCGATGCTCTTAATAGTAAAAACCTAAGTTCTCACCTTTACCTCTCCACTGCAGGTTCTTGGATAAACTCTTGAATAAGAAACAAAGAGGTGAAGAAGTAAATCAGTGGTTTCTTCAAGATATTCGCGCTGACATTCCCTTTTCCCGGAGTCCTTCACTCTTTTATTGTGTGCTAAATGAAGCTATTCTCCGGCAGGCAGGACAGCTCTTCTCCTCACTTCACTCTCTCTGCTCTCTCTGCGCTGTTCGCTGGAGTGGAAACCTCCCTCTTCCGGTCAGCAGCGAGTCTCAGGAGAGCGCAGGTGGACAGGTGGATCTGTGAGCGCTCCACCGCCCTTCAGCAGAAGCTCATCTGATGAAGCACTCGTGAGCAAGACGACTGCGAGATACATGATGCCTTGTATGGTTTTTATAGATTTATAAATCTATAAAAACCATGCAATCAATAAAATAAAGATTATTCATATTATAACATTCTCAAAATCGTATTAATATTGATAATATACCATTCATTATTATGCCCTTTACTTCTTTAGACTTAATAAAAAGCATAAACATATGGTCTATGACCAATTTATTATTTTTCAACAACAATGATAATAATTATTATCAAAAGCAGTTGTTATTAGTAATGTCATATTAAATATAAAATAATTAGTATTTAACATTACTTATTAAATAATATATATATTTTAAATATTAGTAATAGATTGTTGTTTATAAAATAGCAAAACATGGGAATTATGTTACGTGAAACAAAAAAAATATATAAATGGGAACATCATTTTATTTAATATAATACACGTAAAATAATATTATTATTATGCTCTTTGGTTGTTTAGATTGGTCATAAATACTATAATCCATGTGTCACACCCCATTGGACTTTTGTTCTGTTTTCATCCCTCATGTGCTCTGTGTGACCTAGTTTCTTTCCTCCGGTTTCCCAAACGCTTCGTAAACATCAGATTTGATATTTAAAAATGTGTATGTTAATGAATTCCAATCATTCGTAAATGAAGCGAGCGTGCACGCTCATTCTCAATTACCATAATCCCCGCCCATGAATTCCGATGACAACTATATATGGGCATCATCATATTATGAAACGAAAATAAGGATTCGTATATGCTGTCTTTGTTTCTTTTTTTTCTTTAAGTATTATTGATTTTTAATTTTTTTTTTCTATGTAATGTAAACCCATTCCTTTAATTGTGTTATCTTTTTGGATGTCTTGTTAAAGTTGTAAATGTTGCATGTTATGTCTTTAATGTCTAATAAAAAAAAAAAATAATAATAAATAAATAAAAATCTAGCAATAGTGCTATATCAGCCAGTAAGTGTTTATTGTTATGCCTCATTCTGGCCATTTTATAGAAAACCATTTCCTTCCCTGAACCCTCTACCTGTACCCACCCACCCTCCCTCTCCTGCCTCAGCTCTGCCACTGCTGCGTCCTGGAAGCCCCTCTGCTCACCCTCAGCCCACCATCTGTGAGGTGGGATCGCAGCGGTTCTGCCAATCTCGACTTGGCTGGAGGATCCCTTGTCTCCGCCTCCAGCCTCTGAGCCCCGCACTCCACCTCGGCCTGCGACCCAGCGGCTCCACCATGGCTCCTAGCTCCCTCCTCTCCACCGTGGCCCGTCAGTCCACCAGCTTCGCCAGGCTCCCTCGTCCCTCCGGCTCCGCCTTGGTCTGTCGTCAACCATCTGCCGCCTCGGGACTCTACTCCTCCAGCTACACCTCATCCCTCTGGTTCTGTCAGGCTCCTCCTTCCCTCCGGCTCCACCACGGCCATCCGGATCCCCGCCTCGGTCACCTGAGCCATCTGCTCCGCCTTGGCCCACCCCTCCGGATCCTCCCTGTCACCTTGGCTCATTGGCTCTCCATCTCCTCCTTGGGCTCCACCACCACCTGCTCCGCCGCCATCGGTCGACCCCCTGGAGTCGGCAGCCCTTCCTCCACCATGGCTCTTCCCTCCGTCGGCTCCACCATGGGCCGCCATCAGGGCTGTGGCCTGGGTCACACCTGTCTCCTCCTGCTCCCTCCTGGCTCCTCCCTCCGTCAGCTCCACCCTGGACTTTGGTTGTCGTGGTCCTCCTCCCGGGTGTCCGTCCTCCGCCAGAGCCTCCACCTGTCTTGTCTGCCTGCCTTTCTGCCAGCCCTTCGCCGTCCTCGGTCACCATCCCTTCTCCACTCCTTGTGTCCTCCTCCTATGTCCCCCTCCGTCCCTCTCTTTGTCTCCATGGCGTGAGGTCAAGCCTTCTGGGAGGGGGGTGATCTGTCACACCCCATTGGACCTTTGTTCTGTTTTCATTCCTCATGTGCTCTGTGTGACCTACAGTATGTGTTTGATTGTGTCATTTAGTTCAGGTGTGTGTCATTAATTATCTTCATTTGCTCTCGTATTTAAAAAATGTAGTCTGTCTGTCTTTGTCTGGAAATTGTTGATGCTACCCTGTGTGTTAGATCCTCTTCTTTGTGTGAATTACCATTAAAAGGATTTGTTATAATCTTCGTCGTGCCTTCGTCTCCCTAACAGAAGTATCGTGACACCATGCATGCTCTGTGCCCATTTCATTATTTTCTAATAATAATCATCATCGTCATCATGGCTATTATTATTTTTAATATAATAATAACTAATTAAAACTAATATTTAACATTACATATTAATTCATTACATTAAATCATTACATATTATTGTTCATAAAATAACATTGGTTCCCAATACGTATGATTATGTAGTAACAAATATTTTTTACAAAATCATGAAATCATGAAAAGGAGCTGGGAGCATAATTGAATAGTATAATATTAATAATTTAATAGTAATATTCATAATAAAGTATATTACTATTATTATGCTCTTTAGTTCATAATATTAGCCATAAATACCATAAACATGTATGCTCTATGCCCAATTTAGTATTTTGCGATAATAATAATAATATTATTACTATTATTAATAATAATAATGGGGTCAATCGTGGCCTAATGGATAGAGAGTCGAGTCAGACTTGTAACCCGAAGGTCACGGGTTCCAGTCTCCGGTCCGGCAGGAATTGTCAGTGGGGGGAGTGAATAACCAGCGCTCTCTCCACCTACAATACCACGACTGAGGTGAGACCCTTGAACAAGGCACCGAA